TATTATAATACATTTGTATGTATATACATCGCTCCACTCAGAGCCTAAAATAATACCTAATCATTTTAAGGGTTTTAATTTATAATAAGGTAAGACAAGTAGGTATACTATTATTGAATTTGTATATTATTCAATCGTTTTAACCATAATATATAATAAAATATTATAACGATTTGATGTTTTAATAAAAACCGACTATAAACAGTGTGATCAAATTCAAGGTTTGTTTTAAATTCTTTAAATAGCACTCTGGATTTCTTGACGTTTTCACACCTGTTTGATTCATATTTTTTCCTTAAACAAAACACTTTTGTACCTTGACTTCCATTTAAAGTAATTGACAGTTTGTATTTCCCTAAAAAAAACTGTTATGCAACAAAAGACTTGATGAGTTCCATCAATATGCACATAGGTATTAAACATTTTAGATTCTGAGCAGAGCGATAAATATCATTTTGCAATGAAGTCTGTTTCTTTGTCTGTGTTCACAACAATTAAATCCAAATAAGATTTCGATTTTCAACTTCAGTATCTTTTCTGGTGAGCAAATGATTCTAGTTGGGTGCATCCAAGAGGTCAAATTCAAAAGTTTCCAATACTTTTCAAAGGCGTCAAGTAAAATAAACAATAAATTAAGAAAAACGGGGATTTGTTGACTAATTCGAATTTGATTTTGGGTGTAGCTCTACTAAAAATAATCATAAATACATGACATTTTCACCGAATGTTTATAATAGCATTTTCCAACGATAAAATAACCATGATGAAGGACGATGAATCATTTTCATTATACCATTTTTTTTTAGGTACCTATCCGTAAGGGCAAAAGAAAATTTTTATTTTTACTAGTTTTTTTAAAATTATTGTCGTTAAAAAATTTTAGCTCGATTAAAAAACTTGAAAATTTAATACAAGATTCCCCATAAGCACACCGTCTTTGCTCAGAATCGTTTTTCGTATACAATAATTTTATATCACTGAATTCAAATTTAACATAGGATGACAGTGACTCCTTTTGGCACCGACTGTACAACAGAGGCACAGAGCGTTATCCAATAGCCCTATTTTTTAGATTTGACATTTAGAATTTGAAAGTACAAATTTTGACTCGAAATATTGAAGATTTTTGCATACCAGGGACAAATTCAAGCAGCCTTCCAATATGTTTACCTAGAAAGTCCAAACAAATCTCACAACATTCTCAATAGACGATAGGTATAATTGGCAATAATTTGCAAGTCCAATCCCAGAATTTACTAAGTGTTAATAATCCGGACGATCTTTCAACGTTTTATACCCATAACCCATGAAGCCCTCCAATAAAGTTATACCTAGGTATACAACTGCACACTTGTGAATTCGGGGATTGGACATGTAAGTCGCAAAACTCTAGCTGCAACTATACATCATATAGGGAATGTTTTGAGGCCTGTACAGATTTTTTGGGCCAGCATTAAATCATGTACCTACCTGGCATAATTTGCACTTGCAAATTATAGAAAATTATTAGCTGTCTAGTTCTAGACATGATTTGCGAAAGGTTTTAATGAAGTTGAAGGGGCAACTTCACAGACGTATAATTTATGGTTATGGGTAGGTAAATTAACTCATATACTTATTACTTAATCAATTAAACTTATATTGTTCATGTTGTATGGCGTGAATAAATTATGTTGAAAAAAAATTGTACTTACATAATTTAACCACTGAAAGCACGACCGATGAAAAAGAACCATCATTTGTCTATGCAAAATGATGGACTTCTAATTTCAAAAAAAATTCTATCCACAGCATGTCATTATTTAATACCTATAATCTGTATAAGTGGCATGCTTACGAAAGCTTCATGACCATTACGTACAACCTATTAGGTAGATAATAGATATATGTATACAACAGTTGCACTGTTCAACTGTTGCTCGCTATATTATATTAAACTATGTTCCTATTTATTATAATTTTCTCCGTCTTGTCGCAATTCGCTAAAATAGATCAATTTTATAAGTCGATGATAATATATAGCTATACATAGCTCGGGGGGCTGGGGCGTTTTAATCGGCGGACCCAGTGGACTTTATTACGTTTTCACATTTGTATCATCTAATACTGTAATATATAATAAATAATAATATACTTGAGCAAGTTCCTATACAGTATGCCTTTACGAGTCAACGGTATGGCGAATAACTTTAGTTCAATGTACATAATATTATATATATATATATACCTATATATGAATATAGGCAGGTTCATGAGGCGAGTAATTTACATCTTAGATATACATTGAATAATGTAGACATTTCGTATTATCATTAAATGGATATTATATAGGTCAAATTTTAAACAGGTACCTTCTACCTACCTTTAGGTACATACTAACAATAACGGCAATTTCCATTCCGACTCACACTCATTATACATGTATAAAACGTCCTGGGAGGAATATACGTAGGCACATGTCGCTGTTTAACCATACAATAATTGTAATTTGTAATTCAACTTTGTATATTGTATCTTAAAATTGAATTGCAGCTGCAGTGTTACAAATTTATAACATATATATATTAAACATTACTTAAAGCACTTTCGACGATTTACGCAAGCCGCACTGCAGTTGGAGAAACTATACCTAACTAATACCTATGGACCATCCAACCATGGACTAATCCTATTGACCGCCGATTAATTATGTAATAACCATTATCGGTGTCATATTATTATTAAACAGGCAGACTGAAAGGCTGTCTCAGCTCAGAATTGTTATTCGTATACAATGATATTATTATATAATTTTACTGGGTCACAGAAGTCCCATCATGCAAGTCCATTTTTTTAAATATTGAGTTAATTTTATAATCAGAATATCCTTTTTGTGATCTTTTTAAAGGTATTAATACTTAAGTCCAACTTACTGACATAAAATGCATAGATAGTGAGAGGTATTCAGACATAAGTTCCAAACTATATTGGAAGTATAATGGAACGTATGTACCTAGAACGTTATAATTTTCTTCCTAGTTAGAATACTAATACAAAATAATATTATTGAAGTAAACAATCGTAAGTCCATTCGAGACGAAAACTATATTATATTATTTTGTTTTGTTTTGTCTCTCCTGCAAAATTTAGTTTTTGTGACTTGCGTTAATTAACACTTCTGCGGTAATTCTGTTTAATTTAAATTCAAATTTAACGCCATCCGTCATCATAGTGACTCACATGTAACTTACTGACCGCCAAGTTACGGTATCCACTTCTCCATTTTTTTTATCTCATATTATCTCTGAAAAATTAAAAATCCATATAATTCTTTACGTTTACGGTTAAATGTCAATAAAGTGTACAGAAATTAGACATTTTTTTAATTTCCCTCAAAGTAGTGATTTTCACTTATGCCCTTTGGCCCACGCCGTCCCATTAAATTAAAGGGTATAAACTGCTATACACTTAAAATAGGAAGAAGATAATGTTTAAATTGTCATGTATATTTTGAGCATATACCTACCGGCCACGGCTACCCGATATACGAGTCGACCTCAATATTGTCTTTTTTTTTATACCAATTCTTCCCTTCCCAATGTATCGAGAGCAAAATGCACCAGTTGCCCTCAACATATTATATACACTACCACAATACCACACATTAAGTTAAATATTAAATAGGGGATGTAAATATGTGACGCAACCGTTATTGACGCTATACTACTAAAGTATTAAATAATGAACTTTTTTTACAAATTCGTACAATGAACGAATAAAATACAATATTTTAAATGGTAATAAACGGCACACATTGTAATTTGTCAAATAAAAAAACGAATACTCGGGAGTATAAAATTTCACGCTTTACGAAATAAGTTATTTTATGATGATGGCATTTGGTACATTTGCTTCAGGGCAACATTTTTTTAAGTGCTGAAAACACACAATGGCTGTCTAAAAAAATGTTCTGGCAATTGGCCAACACTCATTTTTTTTTAATTTTTGTTTTCCACAGTTGTTTAACCTAGCCAGTAACTAGTTATACACATATTATACATTGCCTATACTTAAAAATGTTCGTGTTATTGCTCATGTCTTAATTTTATAAAATATACCTATGTACAATATGTTAAAGGTTGTTGTTGTATTTTATGATACATAAATTAATAAGTTTTTAAAAACAAGCATTTATACAAGTTTCACAAAAAGTTTGGTGTTAAAAGCTTTTGCAACTTTTAACAATAATCCGAACTAAATGAATTAAATACGAATTAATACAAAAATCCATTTAACAGTTGGGTAATTAAAATTTAAATCAGATGTAGGAATATATAAATGTTACATTTTTAAAATACCAAACTTGAACTTTGAAAAAAAAAGTGATTGACCAGGGAGTTTCGAAAAATAATAACTAAAAGCAATAAATGAAAGCAAAATTGAGAGAAAGAAAAACATTTATAACAGAGATCAATAATAAAAAATTAAATTTAGTTTTTAAGGTTTGGTATAAAATAAATGAATCATTAAATGTAAAAAATAAAAAAATAATAACAATAATTAATAACACACGATTATATTATAATTAATGGAAATATGCGAAATGTGAATAAATGTTTGTTATAAGCCTGTTTGTTAATTTTATGATACAATCATTTTTTTTAAATAATTGAATTGAAGGTCAAGTAACTATCACCTTTAAACATGTGAAATTGCGAACATAAAAACTTATGTACCTATAATACATGTCACTGAAGATGATTGTTGAATAACTTATGAAAATTAAAAAGTTAAAAAAATTAATATATGTTAGTACATTAAAGAATTTATTAAGCACTCTCAAATGAGTAATGACTAAAGAAATTAAAATTTATAAAAATAACAGTAGGTAAATATTTATCCAAAGGGTTTAAAAAGATGTTTAAGGTAATTGAAAACCTTGATTTTAAATTCTACTTAATAGTTAAATTGAAAAAATAATAAAATATAATTATAATTGTTAATAAAAAATTAACTATAAATATACTTTTTCTTTTTTTCTTTAATAAAATTTGTCCAAAATGGTATAATTTTTGTTTTACATTAAATATCACACTTTAATTTGGTGCATCGGTTGGCATTACATTTTTTAAAAATCCCTTATAACATATTCTTAAGTATACAAATTTACATAATATATATCGTAATTATATTTATTTTGTATTTCGTTTAAATATTGCTTAAATTATCACGTTAGTTCACCATAGTCTGTCCATCCATGACTAGGAGCACCCAGACGTAGCACTCCCACTGTCCGATCCTTGGATGCTGTAATAAGGTCTGATTATTAGCTAAGTTAAGGAAAAACATCATTAGATTTAAATTCATCTTTGGAAAATAAATTTAAATTCAAGGTACTATCATAAAAAACATTTAATAAATATCAAACTAAGTACTTTGATATGTCAATCAAACAAATATAAGAACCATTTTAAACAGTGATTTCAGATACATTTCAGAGATCTGGGTAATAAATTTGTTAAATACTAGATTATGTATCTGAAAAGAGTAAGCGCATACATTATTTAATTATTGTATAAAAGTATTTAAGTATGAAATAGTAATACATCCAATTTAAAAAAAAATGTATTTATTACTTACAAACATACAAAAATTAAAAAAAATTTTATTCAAACTATAAAATTAAATTTCTTAAACCTTGCACATTACATTATTTTAAGAAATATTATTGTTCATCACTTTTCAACCAGTTTAGAATAGATTATAAATGGTAAAGATATAATCATTTTATGGATTTAATCAAACCTTTTTTGATCTATGAATGTAAAAAATCAAAAAGTTTACTAAAGCTGTTAATTAAAATTTTAAATTACAAGTTACAACTGTTTACAAATAACAGTTATAATATAACTGAAACTATATGTGTGAATAAATTTTGTTAACTACTCAAAAGATTAAAAGGATACATTCGTCATAAGGAGATATATCTAAGTCTTGTATATCTCCTTTATGGGTGTACACTTCTCCAAGGTACTCATGTCTATCTGGATATCTTCGGTATTTTCTAACAACACCACCTTCACATACAGAATATAGAAAGCTACCATTTGATGTGTATCTGACTTTCCAAATCGGTTTATCACGGTTTTCGCAGAAGCTCTCTTGAATACCCAAATTAGGTACATATGATGTAATTTTATCGCCCCCACTCATAATTACACCTAAGAAATAAATAATAATAAATACAACATAAATTACAATAAGAAAACAAATTCATTTAAAATCATGAGAATAAATGTTTTTTAAGTTTTATATATTGAGTAAATTAAAATTATAAATAAAACATTAACATACTATAAAATCCATTGGACAAAAATCCTTGAAACGGTTCTGGTGTAGGACAAACCGTGTTCAGATGACGCCCCGAATAAAATGTGTGTAATATTCGACCGTCCATTGTACACACTTTACAGCAACCATCTGAACCTGCAGTGACAATAGTACTGAGAAGTCCATTACTAGTTGCCCAGGGCCATGATGATTCTAGAAAAACTATATCACGAATAGTACTAGAATGTAGCTGAAAAAAAATTAAGATTATAATTACTTGTAAGCTCCATTTAGGCAATACATCAATATCATTTGTTTGGTTACTAACATCATACACATAATCTAGAGGTAAAGGCATTCGAAGATCTAATAACGTAAGACCTTTGCCATTTACCGCTACAGACACCGCAATGTTAGGTGATGTAGGATCAGTAGCTAGACCAGTTCTATCCCTCCCACTTGCTGCACAATTATCATAAGCTAATAGTTGTTCTCCTCGTTCAACATCGACAACTGAAAGCCTCCGAGATGTTGTACACGCTAAAATCTATAACAGATATAATTTCTTAAGATGCATCTTATTTTTGTTTAAAAAAAGCTATTCAAATTTCAAAAATATAACTAATATAGTTTTTTTTATAAACGTTTCAATTTAAACAATAAAATAAATTGTAATATAATAATAATAATTTGAACTAAAAATTTAAGAATTGAAACAATGAATACTAAATAAATTTGAATATAAATTTTTATAATTATTATAAATAATAAAACGATGTCAGTATAATTTTCTTTAAAATACAATTGGACATTTTATGTGTAGTTTTTATTTATCACTACACTTATTGATGTGTGTTTTATTTTATATAATTCAAGAGATTATCAAATATAAGTTTAAAAAAATATATTCTAATAATAATTAAGTACCTAAATATAAACTAAGATAATCTTTACTCAATTTCTAATAATAATACAAAAGAAATAATATTATTTTTAATCAAATGAATAATATAAAAACAAATATCATAATGTTTACTTAACATATTCGAAAATTAAATTAATTAACACCAATTTTAGCTATTTACTTTGTGTTTATGTTACACATGTTATAAAAAAAAAATTAACATAGCCAGTTAAATTTATCATTTACTTATCATTTAAATTTTGATTTTTTAGCAAATTCCTAGCATCTTTGCTTATTACCAGTGGCGCCAAGAACGCACTTAAGGTGGTGCATTTGAACCACCTAAAATTATGGGTGGGTGGGTTAGTGAACATATTTAACCAAGATAGTTAATACTATTACTTACAATAGTAAGTATAAAGTAAGTACTAGGAGTAAGGACACTAGGTAGTAGGTACATAAGCAGTTACCAGTTACGAATACTTAGAATCTGATGCCAACACATTACCAGATGAGTTTAATACATTTTGTAATTTGTACAACAAATTTATTAATCATATAGATTTAAAAAAAGAACATATTGAGTTTTCAAAATTATTTTCTTACTTTGAATCTACTATGATAGGTTCTCAATATATGCATTATAATTCTGAAACTAATGATGATAAAGAAAGCTCTTCAGATTTTGAAGACAGTGGTGATCAAGAAGGAATAAAAGACACCGTTGATCTAAAAAAAAATAATTACCATAATTTGGGAACACATCTTCATGTATTTAAGGTTATTTCGGATTTATTTATTTAAATTCCTTATTTATTTGGCTAGACATTGGTACTGGAAAATAGCAAAAAAAATAACTTGCATAATAGTAACTCTACATGAATGTAATTTATAGATATGTCATAATTCTGGATTACAGAGCATTTTTCCTACATTATACATGGCTCTTCAAATAGCATGTACTCTACCAGTGTAGCCCATAAAGGAGATATACAGTGAGTTCCGCTTAATGTGATCACTGGTTTATAGAATCAACCGTTTATTAGAATCAAAAATGAAAATCCCAAACCAAATTGTATGCTACTAATATTAAATTGACCTTTTATTAGAATCACTAAGTACCGGATAATTGAATCACTTTTATGAACAATCTTATCGTTTTTATGGTATCTCAAACTGATTAATTTATAAAAACCATTTTATTTTTGAATTTATCAGTATTATTGTATATCGTTGTAAATTATGTCAATCAATTATCTTTGTACGTAGAGGCGTCGTGTACTTGTGTCATTTAGTTTATTAGGTTTATTGTTCGTGATCAGACATATTTTTTGAAATGTCGACCAAACGAAATGATTTAACTATAAAAGAAAAAAAAGATATACTCGTTCGTTTTGATAAATTGGATAAATGTTCTCAAAGAGAAGCCGAATTAGCTCTGAAAATTCCTCAACCAACGTTAAACAAAATTTTAAAAAATCGTAAGGAAATTGTTGAACATGAAGAACAAAATTTGCCTCTTTCTCGAAAACGAAAACGAAATGGACAAAATGTTGATGTAGAAGAATCTTTATTACGATGGTTTCAGCAAGCTAGAAATTTAAATGTACCGGTCAGTAATTCTATTTTACAAGAAAAATCTATAAATTTAGCTTTGCAATTAGGTGTTGACAATTTTAGTCCAACAATCGGGTGGTTGACTCGTTGGAAAAACAGAAACAATATTGTTTTTAAAAAAACATGTGGAGAAAAAAAAGATGCAGATTTTCAAGCTGCAGAAGATTACATAAAGAATTTTATTGCATCGTCTAATTATGCACCTGATGACGTATATAATGCAGACGAAACNAAAAAATGTAAAAATCAATAATTTTATTAAAAAATTATAATTATGTATATATGTATTAGAAATTATTAAATATCTAATTAAAAATAAATAATTGTATTAAAAGATTGAGTTATAAAAAAAATTGTTGTAAATGCTTATTAGAATCAACCGGTTAATAGAATCAAAATAACCTGCACCAAAGTGATCACATTAAGCGGAACTCACTGTATATCCTTATAACGAATGTATCATTTTAATCTTTTGAATAGTTAACAAAATTTATTCACCCATATAATTTAAGTTATATTATAACAGCTATTTGTCAACAGTTGTATCTAGCATAACACCAGAGAGAACATTCTCAAAATTAAAAATTATAAAAATCGATTGAGTACAACAATTTTTCAGGACCATTTAAAGCAAATAATGATTATTTCTTGTGAGTCTGATATTGATATATATCATAATTAGGTTGTAGATGAGTTTGCCAGTACTACATCTGTATTGTCAAAACATCTAACCTAATGTTTGGTAAACTAAAATTATAATTTTTTGTATTTTTATTTAATGGAAAATTTAAATATGTTTTCATTATATACTAACTTTTATACTTCTATAATAAATAATAAATAGTAAAGTGGTAAGAACTAATAATTTTTGATTTTCTATAAATGTATGCAAATATGCTGTAAAAATATATGAATATTTGTGAACATTGAATTATTAAATTAGATACATTTATTAATCTTATAATTACAGGTGGTTGACAAATGAATGTTACACGGTTAGCGAGCGAGCTTTGTGTCAACATCAAAAATATTACAATTGTGATACTACAGATTGGCAGTAATAATAAAAAATAAATCCTTATTACATTTTTAATTGCTTACTTAAATATCTATTTTATAATATTAGGATAATAAAAAATGTTGACTTTTAAAATTATTGCTTAACGGCCATGGTCAACCCCTCCATATTTGGGCAATGAGGCTCTTTTTTAAATTTTTACCATAACAAATAGCCTATCCATCCATGTTAATGGCTAGTAAATTTATCTTTTCATTTATCGTTAGAGCTTGTTTTAATAATAATTTGTGATTGTAATTTATATTAACAGTTTCAAACTAAACTTAATATAAATGTTAAATTATTCACGGAAAATAAAAATATACCTAATTAGGATTTTAAATAAGTATTATATTTACCCTCGAACCATCAGATGTGAACCTCACTGCATTTACATTTTTTGCGACAGCCATCGTGGTAATAGAATATGACATAAGTAATTCCATACGTAACGAGGAATAGAGGTTGACCTTTCCATCGTAAGCGCCAGAGCAGAATAGATAACGGTCCTAGAATAATAATGTAAATTTAATTAAATTACAAATATACCTTCATAGATCAATATTAACATACTCGAGGACTAAACGCTACTCCTCGGACACTGTTGCTATGGTGTTTCAGAAACCTGGGTTTGCCCTCCTTCTGCATCGCAACTTTTGTCACAAAACTTGAACTTCTATCTGTACTGTACCACTGCAAAAACCATAAAACAATATCAATGACAATTTGATTAGAAAAAAAAACGTGGTAACGCCAACTTACTTCATCAAAGATCACAATTCCAGTATAGTCTGATCGGATACACAAAATTTGACACTACGTATCGTAAGAGTTTACCGTGTTCCCCAATGATATGTCAGTCATACTGTTGTGACCCATTGTACGATGGTGGTTGATACTCAAATTTGAGTTTGAAGTCGACGAACGTGAGTGCATCGTTGTTTGTGGCCTGCATCCGATTAAATATGTTTTTTATATGTATTTAATTATTATTATTTTTCTGTCACGTAAACATAAGTGTGTTTGTGGTTTGTCGAGACCGAATAGCACTACGTGGGATCAGTCGGGAAAACGTTTACATAATATCACAGTCGGTTGCGGACACTAGAGAAACTTCCACGACTTTGGGCCAGGGAAAATGATGAAATGATGAATGATGAACTGCAGCATTATCTGTGACCATGTTATTTAATTTGATACTACGTTCTACGATGCGGCGGGGCCGAGGGTCATTTTTAAAAAGCGAATAAATTAGGCGATACGCTCGGTGGCGCCCGCCTACCGCATATCTACACTCCTAAGTCCTAAAACCAATTTACTGGTGACGTGTGGATTGATAACGCAAGTGATAGTAGTGATAACAGGATAACAGTGATAACTGAGATTCGCGCAAATATATTCTAAGACCGTGGCGCAAATCTTCGAAAAAATATAATGATAATGCGTTACTATTTCAGTTTTCGAAGTGAGTAGTACCAACAATAGTCAATAATTGTATCTTAATTCTCGATTTTCTTCATGTTTAGTCGGGAACAACATACAAACGATTACTGTGGAAATTAATTCCCCCATTGTAATTGCACTTTAAGCCACTGAAAAACCAAGTAGGTATCTACAGTAATCGTTTTAATTGACTTCATTCAATGGTCAGTGGGACAATTTCTACAAATAGTGGGCAGAACTTCAATTTATAATTAGACTAGACCCACCTGAATTAAGAAGCTGCGCCCTCCCAGAAATTTCAGAAACATTTAAACTTGCATTCAATTGTAAGCATGTATTAAAACTGTACATTTTGTAAAAAATTATAGTGGTTACAGTAAAAGTCAAAAAACGAGTCTCATATTATTTACTCATGGTATGGTATGAGCATACCAAACTTATGACTTAAGAGGGATGCTCGTTAAGCCCATCATTGGGGTGCACACATCGTCGTATAATCAATACACTCTTTCCTCCACTCGGAATCAAAATTTATTTTTTTCTAAATTATGATACTATAATAGTACAGTGTAGTTTCCTAAATGTCATTAAAATTGCATAGTGAAAAGCTTTTAAAAATCGTGTGTAGCTAGACGCCAGTGTATAGTTGTTTGTTTTGTGTGAGCACCGGCAGATGGCGCAAAAAACCTATCAGTTTCGAACGGACAACGACGATCTAGATTTCTGCTCGACGATACTCAAATGACATAGCAACGTCGTTATTAAGATCAACAAATACCGTTTCAACCATGATTGAGACGTATTAATCGATGCTATCGATACACAGAATAACACTTATCATGCGTGATCTGTTCTTCGTTCGCCATCCGCCTCCAGACGTCACACACGAAAGGGTTATTATATAGGTTTCTATTTGACGTTTGTGAGACATCGCTTCTCGGCCTAATGGCTAAGATCAAAAGTGTAGTATCTGTTCTTATCAGCTTAACATCTGATAAACCACTTATTCGGTGGTTCAAATGTTAAACTAATATTTGGAAATCTGGTGGAGATTAGGGGCTTGCTCCTGCTCCACCGCGGGTTGGCCCGGAGTTGCAGTACTTCCGGGATCGACCCACATACCATGTTAATTATACTCTTATAGTTCCGTCCTCTTATAGTTTAATCATTATTAATATTATTATACTAATATTAGGCATTTGGCGACTCAATTATATTTAAACTGAATAACTGCGTAAGGAGTCATGTGACTTGTCGTGCGTAAGAGAAATTCGTAAAATTTGATTTTGAGTATCCGGCGCCGACGACTCATGGCCCCCATATAGACGTATATCTTTTATGTATATATATCACTCCCTATATGCCGTCCAATTACGACTTAACCATTTCTTGGTAAAATATAGGAGTTAACCTCACCGGTATTATGTTCATCGTCTTCGGAAATGAGAGTGTTTGTTTTCCTTCGGGCAATCTCGCGTGTATCCTTATAAAAACATTGGTTACATATTAATTGCATTAGATCTTTATTTTACAATCCAAGGTATGATAATATAATATATAAATATATAATTCGTTTCCACCGTTTCTGGACTTTATAATTTCAAAATAATAAAAATGAGTGTCTTATAATATCATCCAAATAATATTGGTTCGTGGTTTATTTATTAAAAAATTATAATTTATTACAGTATCTAAAGAATGCACATGGTTTATGGTTACTACGACTGGTAGATGGCGCGAACAAACCTATTAGTTTCAAACGCATAACGATGACACGAATTTCCACTCAACGATACGCAAACGTCGTTTCACCATTAATACTAAAATCAACAATTCAGTTAAAATTTTAACCTTTTGTACTACATGATGCCATTGGTACACAGGAAAACACTATTCAATCGTGAATGACTCTTCGGTTGTTATCCGCCTCCAAACGTCACACACGAAATGGTTTTTATATAGGTTTCTGTATGACGATTGATAGTTATCGCTTCTCGGCCTAATGGCTAAGATCAAAAGTGTAGTATCTGTTCTTATCAGCTTAACATCTGATAAACCACTTATTCGGTGGTTCAAATGTTAAACTAATATTTGGAAATCTGGTGGAGATTAGGGGCTTGCTCCTGCTCCACCGCGGGTTGGCCCGGAGTTGCAGTACTTCCGGGATCGACCCACATATGACTCAATTAAGGGATAAAACCAGTATTTTGAAAATGACGGTCACGAATTACAACCTTGGTCCGCGAAGGCGACGATCAACGTCAAATACAAGAAAATTCACTAGGCATAGCCAGTGAGTAAAAAAAAACGCACCTAAATTAGGATGACCATATTTAAAAAAAATAAAAAACAAGACCAAATTAATAATCATTTAATTCTTTTTTATTAATACATAATTAATATATAATATTGATTTTTAATCGTGAAAAAAACATAATTTTTAATAACACTGTATTAAATTTATGTTACTTTCATTAGCTTTACTTTTTTTTAAAAAAAATGTATTAATTCATTTTTAAAATGTTGTTTTCGATTATTATCGATCTAATTGTATCCAAAAGAAATCGATTTTTCTCGTCTGTCCATAAAACATTTGTAATTGAAAATAATATTTCTAGCGACGCGTTAGTTCCTGGAATAGCCATTGAATACTCTAAAATATTTTGGAATTGGAATGTTATTTTTTCTAGAATTTTAAATATTTCACACCACCTATGTTCGGCCTTTGAACCATATTTCCAGTTTTGCATTTTAACCCTTGTTACATTTATCATATGAGTATATGACAAAATTCATCAAAAAGTTCATCATCATTGAATTTCGATGTTGGATTATTCTTAATAATATATTTAAAACTTCCTTGAATGTCACTCCAAATTGGAAAATCTAGTACTTGAATCCAACGAAAAACTTTTGGTGGTTCAAAGAAAATTCCTCATTTTTCCGCGTACGATAAAAACATGCCATCAGTTATCTCAATAAATTTCTTTTCACTGTACAGTTTGTTCTTATCAATATCTGAAATAAATTGAGCTAGCTCTGATGTAAAAAAATGATGATTTTTCCAATTTTTTATTTTACCACATAACACTTCAATTTCTTCATACACTTTGCACTTTGCATACCGATATATGATCACCTTCTATCCTATTTATTGTATCACATACCAACTTCAACTGACTTTGTACAAAATATAACCATGCAATAGATATAGAATCATTAAAAAAGTTCTTAAAATTGTTTGACACTTTTCTTGTGGCACAGAATATGATTTCAATGCAGGATATAAATCTATTATTCTAGAAATAGCTGGCTGTAGAGATAACCAACGCGTTTTTACAGATCCTAAAATATTTTTGTACTCAATACTAACAAAATCGCAAAAATCCTTTAATTTTTCTATACGAACTGTATAGATATGAAAATACTGAAATATTTTATTAATTATGAGTTCAATCTCAGTTGGCAAAATATCAGCACTACTGTGTATAGGCGCATAGCATTGTGCAGAATATGAGCAGCACAGACAATATCGGAAATATTTCTTTTTAATTTTTCATTTAGAATTGCAAAAACGTTATTTGTGCCTTTTCTCAAGACGCCGCCAAAATTTGTATTGCAGCTGTCACCCGAAAATGCAACATTTTTTAATAAATTATATTTTTTAAAACATTCATTATGTAATCTGATAAAATATTTGATGTTTCTCCTTTTAAACACTTTAATTTTTTTATGGTTTGATGTATCCACTATACTTGTTAAACATCCAATGAATTTTAGTTCATCTATCATCTGTTAAATGGCAAAAGGAGCTATTACAATTATTATAGATTCACATTTTGTACGAGCACACGATATTTTTTTTTATAATTGATGTTGTACAATTCATAGACCTGAATGAATGATTGTGTATGATAATTGATAGTGTGATATGCAAAAAGACCCTCTTCCGCCGCAATACGTTTGCTTTCATTTGTTGACTGTACATTAGTGAAAAAATTCGTTACCTTATTTGAAAAACTGCTTGATACGACCAATAAATGTTTCTTTTTTTTAACATGTGTAATATCTGAACGACCACCATTTTCTATTGAAAAAACTTATTTACATACAATACATAAAACTTTTCCGATTTCATCACTATCTCTTTAAAACGGAAATTCAACTTTCAAGCTGGGAGTAAATACGCATCTTCGCTTAGGCATTTTAACATATTATTACTTTCTTAAAACTGTAAAGTATTAAATTGACGATTATCAACAAGTCGACAACACTCAACGATTGTTGGAACCAAACTAATAGCTATTATCTATTCGCTTTAGTAACGATAACTGTATTCACAAAACGTATTTTCAGTGATATAAATAGATTTTTGTGGTTTTAACGCAGAATAAACAGAAGGTAATCGAAAGCACAGTCCGATAACGGTTAATCCGATTACTCCTATGAGCTCCAATAATTCGTAGACATACTGCCCATACTGATAAATTCAGACAATCACAAGATTACAATTATAATCATTATTCATTATTTTCGTACGTTTCATTTTCAAATTCATTTTGTTTGATAAAAAAACAGGACAAAAAGCGCCCTGAAAGAAGTTTGTCAGGAGAACAGGACACAACTCTGAAATAAAGGACAATCCTGTAACCAAGATGGTTGGACTGATCTCATATTTGCATAGGCGGTGATCGGGGGGGGGGGGCTTACGGGGGCTTAGTCCCCCCAAAATAAATGATTTGAAGTTAAAGTCCCCCTAAGAATATTAAACAAACAATACCGTAATTTTGTACAGTTTGCAGAATTTTTTTCATTATTTAATATTAATATATCCACAATTATATAAGTGTACCTAGTACATTACATACACATTATTCAGTATTTACCAATTTATTATTTACGGTAACATACCGAACAATTAAGTCACAATTCACAATAATATTAAATTGTGTTTATATACCTAATATTGTACATAATATTTTGTACCAATTGGCCATCTATATTGAATAACATATTATACCGTCCTATTTTAGATGGGAAAAATATTATTTATTTTCCTAATTTTTGTTAATTCTCGAGAAGCAATAGCTATTATAGGACTATCGCTATAGCTATATTAAACCTATCGTAAAGTTTATTGTGATTGAATGAATCGTTAACCGTATTGACCATTTTATACTAAATTATATTTTAATTATTGTTTGATGTTCTTGGGAATACATTTCTTTTGAGAATGTGATTTAGATTTTAAATAAATAATTTAATTCAAATATGTTTAAAATATTTAAATTTAAATCGTTTATTAATTATTCTTTTTTTTATGTTTGTAACTATTTAAGTTGTTATGATAACGAGTCAACGAGAACAATTTTTTATGAGTGATTTAATGTAAAAATTAGTTTGTTGGGGGTTTGGGGGCAATGCTCCCACGGGTCTGTTTGTCATCAAATATTTGAGCCCCCCTCAATATTTCACAAGATCTCCGCCTATGCATATGTGTGTTATGACTAACCTTATAATAAAATTGGCATTTTAGTATTCTATTTATTTTTCCTATTCATTTTAATAATATGATTTCTATGAGTATATTATATGATTCGTTTCCCGAGTTTTCATTTCAAAATAATGTGGGTTATGATTTCAAAATAAAATAAATGCAAGGTTTTTAGATAATTTAAAATTATGTTATTTTGATATATCGATTCAAAGTTCCTTTTGATGCAATTATAGTCGTTTCCAAATAATGTTCATTAAAATACTTATATTATTCAAGGTTTTACGTATAAGTTGCAAAAAGCGTTTGGTTGCGCCTTTTATATATTGAATACCGTTTGAGGTTTGCGATGACGAATCACTAATTTATGTTTATAGACCGATCGTTGGTGATTATCAAGTGCCAAGTTTTAAACAATTTCTTGGAGTTAAAACAAAATAACTCGAAATTTTGCAATTTTATATATCATTTGGGCCCCAGATTTTAGGAACGGGATGACAACGAGTGGATATAATTTGTAAGAGGAGCATACCATAGGCAACTCATCATACGAATGACCATGGTCGGTATGAGGATATTTTCCTTATCAGAATCCTTATCAGGCTAGGTCTATTGCCAACTTAACGCACATTCTGGCGATACTGCCCTTTCCATCTTTCCCATAGAGTAATACTCTATGATCTTTCCACGCCTTCTCGGTTATCAGCTAATGGCTATGGAAAATTCGAAAACGGTAAACATTATTGATAACATTGTACTTTTGGATGTACCATGTGGCATTCACGCAACTTTAAAAATAATAATTTGTGACTGTCAACAGAGGAACGGCCTAAACTCCTAACAACAGCCACTTCGTTTTCCAAATGTAAGTATGTAAGTCTGCAGTTTTCTGGTATGTGAACTACATCGAACCTTAAAGATCAGGAATACAACTAATACAAGTTTTGAGTTATATAACCGCAAACACAAAGTTACTCTCGCGTAATCGCCAACTACGACTGATAACGCGCTTATCCTTTCAGATGACCGGGCCACAGAAGAAGAAAAAGCACCATGTAGGCGACACATTCTACAAACGGAAATACAAGACCAAGCACAGAGCCAGAGACATCGACGAGGTAATTGAGCTTTTTTTTTAAGGTCGACCGTTGAGTGATTAACTATTCGATTCTTTGTGCCTGATGCACGAGCAGTCGTAAGAAAAAATATCTGAACACTCGTTTATCCGTGCATTTTGTTGATTATCAAATGTTTACAAACCTATATTATTTAGAAAATATGTAGTTTCGACGAAATTGATTCTGTATGTATAACAAATATAATGTAGATGGCCCGCACTAAGTGGATGACGATATCGTGGTGGTACGGATAATCGATTTGTACATTCACAACAAAATGTGTATTTCATTGATAAATGATGACTAGTTGTAAAGAGTATATTATAAACAAATCTGTTGTGAATTCATATTATTGTCCCCACTGCTACGTAGAATTAGTATACAATACCTGAAATATTATCTTAGTCCAGGATTGGTAGTAAACAGATATTCTCGTGGTTATATTATATATTGTTCAATGACAATTTTTATAAACAATTTTAACTCAATATTTTTACTATTCCTTTTAATATATTTTTTATTTCTAGGTACATACTTGTTGACAATCTTAAATTTTCTTCATTTGTTTTTATATTTTCAATTAAGAGTTACACATGTTTAAAATGTATTATTACACTGTTGACAACATGACAACTAATAATTACTTGTTATGAGTATTATATTAGACATAATAATGCACTAAAAGTTCTATTACTAGTTATTACATTTTCTATTTGAATACACGAGTATTTAATGAAATTATGAAGTATTTAAATAATTGTCAACGATCTGTGTGTGTAAATCTATGCTAAAGCTTTAAATTGTTATAATATTAAATAATGATTTTAAATTTTAATTTAAAACATTTCTCATATCTTATAAGCGTTACTTACTAATCGTTATTTGTTACTTAGGTTGATAAGGACCTAAAAAAAGAAAATGCAGACCGTTTGTTAAAACAAGCTCTTGATTTTGATAAACCTGGGGAAGGACAACACTATTGTATACATTGCGCGTGAGTACCATGTTCTACAAATAAGTACAAACTGAATCTTAGCTATTTTAAAACTAATTTCAATTCAATTTTTTTAGACGCTACTTTTTGAGTGATCAAGTCCTACAAGATCATTTTCGTACAAAATTGCACAAGAAACGGATTAAAGAACTTAGGCTCGAACCATATACTATTGAAGAGGCCGAAAGAGCTGCTGGTTTTGGAAGTTACATAGCTCCAAAAGAAAGAGTCATTGTTACACAACCGATTAATGTGGAAGAATATAAAGAACCTGAAGAAGTTGCTGATATTTGTTCATTAAATATAGATTTACAATGATTAAAAAATTGTCTTCTATTAATTCCCTCTTAAAGGTAACTAAAAAATATAGTACATCAAAACTGTATATACCGTACAATCAGACATCCGATACGTATGTTGTCGTTGAACCATATATAGATCTAGATAATCGTTTAAAAAATATAAATATTTTAAAAGATAATATTACTTTAAGGGGTTTGAATATCGATATAGATAAAATATGTGATAATTGGTCAAGTTTCATAAGCTTACGAGATGAAATTGTCTGTTTAAATGTTGAAAAACAAAAACTTGCTGAACAATTAAAAAAGATCAAAAAGGATAATACAAATGAGATACACGGACTTAGAGAAACTAGATCGAAATTGATGACAAGATTGAAGTCGTTGAGAGATGATATTTCTACATTGGAAGCGGAAGTGGTTATTCCTAGTCTTAGCATCCCCAATATCTTACATCCTGAGTGCCCCTTATCTGAGAGTAAAATTTTATTTCAACACTTGGGGAAAATAAAAATTGATAATAAAGAGTGTGTAGATCATTTAAAAATTGGCTCTGCTTTGGAATGTTTGGATTTCATAAATCCTGTAATGGTTTACATTAAGAACAAAGCTTCTCTTTGTGAACAAGCAATTCTGGCTTATTTTAACGAGTCTCTAGAAAAGTCTGATTTCATACCTTTTTGTAATTCGGACCTTATTAAAAGTGTAATTGTTGAAGGATGTGGGGCTGACGTCAACAATGCAGATCAAACATTTATTTTAAGTGATAAAAACCTGCACTTGGTGGGTGGTGCAAGTCTTCAATCTTTCTGTGCATTCCTTACCAAAGTGAGTGTGGGCGGAAACAAACTGCCTATGAGGTTGTATTCGACTGGTCGCTTGTATAAACCCTACATTAAAAACATTGGACTTTTCTCTGCTGTACAAACAAATGCTGTTGAGATTTTCATTGGTTCAACTGATGAACAGAAATCCAGAGACCAATTTGACAAAATGTTGGCCGTTTACAGACAGCTTTATGAAAATATCGGTTTAGACTATCGCATAGTTTACTCACCAGTTTCTAAGTTAGAAAACTGGGAGAGCTTAAGGGCTCAAGTGGAACTGTACTCTGTCAGCTGTCGAGATTACATTGCGGTTGCTTCATTATCTTTGTCTGGAGATTTCATTAGCAAGCGTTTGAGAATTTACTGGTCTGGTAAAGACAAACACAATTTTTTAAACATTGTTAATGGAAAAATGGTAGACACTAATGTACTTCTAGGCTGTTTGTTAGAACAAAATGTAAATGAGTTCACTGTACCAGATTGTTTGAAAAATTGTATGATTGTATAAAATAATATTTATATATTTACATGAATAAATTACTATCTAATATCTATGTATGCCCTAGATATCCCAACTTTCTAAGTCCATTAGTAGATCATAATATAGATATTAAACGCACAATTTTGTATAACTAAAATATTATTTAATTGCATTTGTACAATAAACTATGTTCATTATCTTTATTTAAAAGCTTCATTGTTTTATTTGTACACAATCTACTCATTTTTATTTCTTTATGTAAATTCTAATACACAGTTTGATATTTTTCTCATTCAACTATAAATCAACATTAATGGATGGTAAATGATTTTGAAAATTAATGTCATGATATTTGTTTAAACGTTTTGAAATACTTAAACTTTTGTACTAAAAATTTGTATTTGTGTCTGGGGTAGACTGTGATTTGTTAACCAAGAATATGCTCACTTTTGATCGAATTATATGATCTAATGCCAGTCATTTCTCAAAGCCTGCTGTTCACCCCCTCCCCCAGAAATCAGAATATATGTACTTATGATTATTCATTACAAATATATTATGCATTCAATAGTTTTAAAATATTTATAAGTGAAATGTTTTTGGATAAGTCACAATAATATTATAATAATACAGAATAGTATCAAACACAAATGTACCAAGAGTAATATTGAAACCATGAGTTAATGCAGCTTGCATCATATGCGGGTGTAGTTTTGTAACTATCAAGGCAAACCAGAATGCTTATGATGGGAGATGGGGGCAGTTATAGGCTTAATAAAGAAGCCCTCAGTTTTAATATGAATGTATAAATTGGGCACCCACTACAAAAAATTGGACCATCCTCGTCTGGACCAAGTGGTGGAAATGATTCTTATACTAAAGTTTAAGGGAGTGCTGAAGTGAATTATCTGCATTCCCCTGCAAACACCAATTAGTTGGTGGAGTACTATAAAAATTTGATATTCACCAGTGTTCTTTATTGTAGTTTGGTGTCACTGGGACTAAGTATACTTTGTTCAAAAATAAAAATACTCCACATTTACTCATATTGAACATGGTACAAAATGATGTGACTTTCTGTAATGGGCCTCTTATTCTGAATCAAGTTTAGCATCATATATAGTAATTTTTCAAGTTTCCAATTAAAAATGTTCAAGGATTCCATATCAAAATTCCTCTATTTTAAATTTTTAACCAAAATGTATAATTTAAAAAACAAATAATTATACAGTGGCACGTAATAATATAACTTAATATTATATAATGAGCTGAAATAATGGTCAAATTTAATTAACTACTGACCCAATTGAAACCTTATTAATTATTTTAAGTAGGAAACAACAAAACATTTTAACACAAAAAATAATGGGACATACTTTTTCTTTTTTCTTTAATAATGGTTATCAAATAAACTATTATATTCCTCTAATAATTTTTTAATTTATAATATAAAAAATATTCTTAAATAAATTTGTATTGATCTAATCAAAAAAGGTCAGAACAAATTATTCACAAATATTAACTAACGCAATATTGTGTTTATGTATGCAAATAAAGAAAAAAAAATGTTTCTATATTATTATATAAGTATAATGAAAAAAATTAACTAAAACGGTTTTATTAAAAATGTTTTGGAATAAGGAAGTGAGAATGACACTCCAACAATGAATCATAAGGACTGAGGGTCTTTTAAATTGGCGAAACCACTCTTCAGTGTCTCTCTAAGTTTTAGACGTTTTTCATTCACTAACATTGCACAGACTTTGTACATCTCCACCTCCTCTGACGGTATTATGGTATCATCTACGACAATAGAATTCTTCTCCTAATAAAAAATACAGTATCCATGTAATAAAGGCAAATCAATATGAATTCAATCTATTTTCAACTTACCAGTTCTTCTCTTAACAACTGTTGAAGTGGCAATGACTTGCAGGATAATGTTCCCATATTAGAATAACATTTAATTTTTAAAGATGGTACTTCTCCTACAACAAAATTAACACCATAATAAATTTTAAAATTATTTACTAAGATTATGATGAATTTAATTCCAAAGGGACAAACAACAATTTTTAATAAATAAAAAACATAAAATATTAGATTGCAGTGAACATTAAGATATGATAATGTATTTTTTTGATTAAAAATTAGTGTTGAGAACAACAACTATACTCTGTTTAAGTTAAGAAAGAATCTGCAGCAGACTTGTATGCAGGGACATGGAAATACTTTGCATTACACTGTACAAATAGTTTAGTCGGCGGGGATAACAAACAAATGTTGTGTGACTGCCACCATTAAAAACTGGTCATTAACAATTGTATATCTTAACTTGAACAGACTATAATATAATATAATAAGATATTTAACATATTCATGAACTACGTACAAATGCTCAAATTTAACCTCGTGAATGCTATGGAGTATTTATTTGTACCATTAAAATATTACCAACTAATAGCATATTTTAAACAACATAGTAAGTACATAAAATTAATTAAAAAAAATAAGTTAGCACTTATAGGGTTACCATCTAAAAATGAATTGTAAATAGGAAAAAAATCCCCTGTTTTTTTTTAAAACAAACTAAATTGAAAACAGAAACATACAAACAAACATTTTGGGTATCAGTGTAAACTAACAGCAAAACAGAGTGGGGCAGTTTTTTTTTTTTTTTTCCTTTATTATTAAATACACAATCTGTACCTCGTGAGTACAACAAGAGTATTAGCTAAAATATAAAAAAACAAAAATAACATGATAAAAGCAGCCACCCAGTGATGACACTTATAAATTGAGATTATACATTAAGTTTTCTCATAGAAACATCTATCATCTATATATATATATATATATATATATATTTTTTTTTTTTAATTATGATATTAAATCAGCATATCACGGCACCAGTTGCGTTTTAAACGCCTAGGAGGATTTCCCGGAATAACATTTGATGAGAGTGTTTTGACTAACGGATTTGAATGTGTTGCAAGCCTATTATGAAATCTTTTATAATAAATAGCAGCTTCTTCTTTAATAGTTTTGATTTTTAGGTCTGTATGGAGAGTATGATTAGAAACATATGGAGGGGAGTTTGTTAATTTTCTTAATGTTATATTTTGGAAAGTCTGAATACGATTTGTATTTGATTTTTTTTTTCCCCACAGTTGGAGTGGGGCAGTAAAATGGAAAATTTGAAATTATAAAAACTATACTCTATCCAGCGAGAGAACGCGCCGGTTTTATGCATCCCTCCGCGTCATCACGCCAATAAAACCGGTTCACCATGGTAGGGTGACACGTGGGGGGACCAGAATTGGTCGGTGCGCAGCACATTATCTCCCTGGACAGAGTATAAATAATATTTGTTTGATGTGGCAGTTTCCTTTACAGTTAAGCATATACCCATGAACATTAAAATATTGATGAATTGAATGCAATTGAAAAACCACATTTGTAAAGAAATTTCCACAACATTTTTAGAAATAAAACAATTCAAGAATATTTGAAAAAGACTATTTATTTTGAGGCAGTTATTTAAAAAATATATGATGGGTACTTCGTTTTAATATACTAATAATTGATTTGTAATCAAATAACTTTGAAAATTGGTAGTTTCATTGTACCACACTGAATATTAACAAACCAAAAATGAATAAATGTAGTTAATGTTTTGGTTAAATTAAATAGATAAAAATATACTGATATATTCAAAAATACTATTGGCCTTCCTATATTAGTAAAAAAAATTGTCTATTAAAAAAGGTACCTAAAAAATAATTGTTCCATGTTCATACTACCATTCACCTTTTATTGTACATATCGACGGTACTTTGTTAAAAGGGCATAAAATAAATTTTTGGTAGTAAACTGTCTTTTAACAAAATACCATCGATATATTTACTTAGTGATAAGTTAATTTTAATTAATTTATACTTAAAATTAGCAAACAAGCTATTTATTGCTCTATATTAATAAATATAACAGCATTTAATTTGTATGTATTGCAAGTTGCAATTCATATATTGTTTAGAACTAATTATGATGGTGCAAAAATAAATTATCCAGTCATAACATTTGAGCTCCTTTAGTATGTATCAATATCAAAATATCAATGAATTACCTGGGTGGTTACAAAATCCTTCTGAGCACGCCACATCTGAACCATCAGGTGAGCTAGTACTATTACTGTGGTTATTATTTTCAGCTGATGCATAACCATAGTCTTGTGAATGGTCGCATAACGATGGACATGAACTACAACTACCAGGTAGATCATGATTGATTACACCAGACTTACAGTCCCCACCTTCTGATTGATGCTCATCAGCAGAATGACGGTCAGTCATATCTTCAATCTCAATATCATCATCCTCATCCTCTTCATCTTCAATCAAATCATAAACATTTATTTCTTGTACCTGACTTGGTAATTGAACAGGGGACTTCTTGATTTTTTTTGTGTTTTTTTTGCTGTTTTTAGTCTGTTTTTTTTTATTCCGTTTTTCTTTTTCTCCGCTACTTTTTTTCTTTTTTGATTTTCTTGTCCCTTTAGAATTACATTCAACACAGCTACAGGGTTTAATTGGAGTAGAAACACTTTTCTTTCGGTCACCAGACAGTTTAAGCTGCTGAAAATTTATAAATTATTCACGGTTAAAACAATAATTATTATACATAACTCAGACTTAGTAAATAAGTAAATACTTACTTTTCTCACTCGTTCAATCAGTTGTATGTTTTCACATGTACATTTATTATCAACATGATCACAGTTTTCATCAGAATCTTCTCTTTCCTAATATAAAAAATACATTCACATAAGTCAGTGTCAAACATACATTATTATGTATAAAACTCACATCAGATTGCACACCGTCATAATCATCATCTTCGTCATCAACATCATCTACAAAATCAATATCATCTTCACCGAAATCAATTTCTTCTTCGTCCACATCAACACATGAACAATCATCAGCCTAAATAAATAAATATATAATATGAATTCAACCACAAATTTAAGATAAATAAATTAGTAGGTGCATACTAATTGTCTACCAGTT